TTTTCCTGCCTGGGCTTTGTTATGAGCCCAAGGCCCTCATGCTGCTGGAATCAGCAGTTCAGTACTGCAATCCCAGCTGCTACCCGAGGGCACTTTGGGTGAAGGCCTGGCCTTTTTCCTCTGGCCCCTGGATACGACATCACTCCCTTTGCAGGGAAGGTTCAACAGCCTGCCCAATGGCCCATGTCTGCAGCAATAATCAATGGCTCTGCTACTGAAAGAACAGGCCACCTCCTGCTGACAAGAGCAATGCCTGAAGGCTCAGGGATGACTCCTTGAAGAACAGGGAGCGCGCTCTCAGTGGAGGAGCCAATAGGGACATGGGATCCCTCTTACTGTGACCTCCTGTACCCTGCCGAAACACACAAGGTGGATTCCCACTGGAAGCACTCTGAGACCTGACTTTCCACTCCCTAACCACACCCCACTCCTAGCCCAGCATCCACTGTATAATTGTCTGTCTGGTGCCTGCCTTCTGGCAAGACTGAAAGCCCCATGAGGGAGGGGTTTTGTCTCCCCCTTTGTATCCCCAGTGCCCAGCTCATGGTAGAGGCTTTATTTATTTATTTATTTATCTTTCATTTAATTTTGGAAAACTGACTCTTCACTTGCAGCCTGGGGAAACCAGTCCCCATATGGAACAGGAGTCCTGAATCCAGAAGCTGTTTCTTTAAGGCCACTGCCAAGCAGATTCTGGGGACTGAGGACAGGTGTAGCTTCGGTGCAGCTTCTTGCTTCTTACCCAGTGCAGCCATCTTGTCGCCTTTGATGGAAGACCTGAGAGGGAAGGAGGAAGGGAAGGAGGGGAGAAGAGGAGCTACCTTCCAGAGGGCAGCCCTACCACGTTCCACATCTCTGCTGTGATCATCTCTAAGTCCTGACCTTCCCTCTGCCAGAAACTCCAGCGAGCTGGCTTTGGAAAGCCCTGTGACCTTCGCAGAGGAGTCTCCTGTAAATGAGCCGCTACACTGCTGCCAGTGAAGCTCTCAGCTGAGGCCTGAAATTGTGATGCCTGCTGTGTCCGTGAGAGCTGCCAGGGTGGTGGCTTCCCTGGAGCTGGTGTACGACGGGCTCAGAATCCCATCACCAGGAAGCTCCTGGAGACTTACAAGTACCAGGTGCTTCTCTAGTATCTGATGCACACCCAGTACACTCCCACCCTACACCCCAACAGGAAAGGTCTCCACCCCAGCACAATGCACTCATGTGCAATTGGTCTTTTACAGACTAGGGGGAAAAATAACCCAGAGTTTCCAGGAGTTTTAAAGCCTTTTATTTGTTTACACATCCTCTAAATTGCAGACAAAATATTTGCTACATGGGTAGTCAATACTGCTAACCAATCACAGAACAAGATACTAACCACAGCAAGGAAGAACAGGGGGTTTGTGATTCAGTCTTTATGAATGTGCAACGGTCCCACTAAGGGACTAGGATATCCAGGGGTTCCAAAGATAACAGCTACTGGATACCCACACTGACCAGCATCTCATCAGCTTGCAGTCGTGACCTCTCCAAGGCCCAGCTCTCAGAACCCAGTGAGGTCAGGAGGAAGGGCAGAGAGGGGAGGGTCCAGTTCATGGGCAGCCCCTTCTGCCAACCTTCTTAATGAAAATCAGTTGCCTCTCCTTCCCCACAAGTGCTAGGTCAGTGAGCCAGCATCCAGAGGTGAGCTGTTTCCAACCTGTAGATTCTCCTGGAGACATTCACAGTACGCCAGCCTGTCCCCTTAGGATGGTGGAGACGTGGCACAGCCACATCTCCAATACTGAAACATCAAGAGATCATGACACATCCCTTAGACTGGGCAGAAACATCACAGCACTTTTCACATTAAGAGCCACAATTGACACCTGGGAGAAATGAGCATTCCTAGAAGACAGAGGACCAGAGCGCGCGCACACACCTATAGACTGAGACTACAATCACATCACACCCAAAAGAGAAGGAGAGCTAGCACAGTGGAGGATGGGCACATTGTTTGCTTGTTGCTGTGGTTGCTTTTCAGAGACAGCAAAGGAAGCCAAACGGAAATATTGTCCTCAGACCATTACACACAACTTCCCAAATCTGCAGCCTTTTTCTCTAATCTCATGAAAGCTATATTGGCCTCAGTGTTGCACATCAAGGCCAAGCAGTTCAAGGCAAAAACTAGTTGTTCAGTCAGCAAGAGGCAATGTGGTGTTGGGTCCCAAGGTCCGGGGGAGGGGGGTCAATGTTCAAAAGCATAAAAGAAAGCCCCTCATTCATAGGAATTTCTAGTGTTGTAGATCAACTGTCCTGGTTGTTCTTTTATGATAGAGTTTCAGAGGAGCTGGGGCAGGGGGTAAAAGCCAAAAAAAAAAAAAAAGAAAGCATATTAGGATGATGGTGATAAAATGTTAGAACAGCTTCCTTCTCTTATGCCCACACCGGAAGACGTATGCATCACATCTACAGGTCAAGAGAAACCACGGACACCAATGACTGGAGATCATCCGAGCTTTGCAAGGTCCTTTCCAAATGTAGCCCAAAGCAATCCAGGGCAGTAAAGTCCTAAGTCTATAAGACAACCATGGTAGACTCACCAGCTGGGTCAGAGCAATGGAAACTCAAGTCTTTCTCCAGGGCCTCACGCCTGACCTAAGCCAAGGCTTTCATGCCGTGCATGGAGCCTGCACAGGCCCACGCTTCCTCACAGGACTGCAGGACAGCAACCACCCCCAACACCCTGCTACCCTAGGAACCTCCTGCTTAATCCCACCCAGGGGAGCCCCAGGGTTCATAAGCAAGGACACCCCTTGCCAAAGCCACCACACTGGCCTCTCCCTCTCCCTGAGGAGAGTCAGAAGGGCTTAGGCAAGAACAGAAAGAAAGTTTCTTTTGGCTTCCTGGAGACGATGCTCCACATCTTGGCCACCAAAAGGAAAGAATTATGTAGTCTGAGCTTTAAGATGTGGACGCACAGCTGGTTGAGCACTTGGTTCTGGCTCTTTCTCAAATCAACTGTGTGATGTGGACAGGCATGCCAGTCATTTCTCACATCTCCACTTCCTAAAGGTCCAGCAGGCCAGCTTCAGACTGGGAAGGTGTCTGACAGTGCAAGCAAATGGAGGGGGTGAGAGGACTCTCTAAGAGCTCTGCCCACTGGGTGCTCAGGCTCCCAACTCCACCCCTCACGGAGCTGAGGGCCTGAGGGCTCAGAGTCCCCTGACAGCTGCTTGGGGCAATGCCACCAGTTTGGCTTGGACAGAATCCAAGTCAGATGGCCTTCCTCTCTCCTCTCCACCAGTGCTAAGGACAGGGGTAAGCCTCCATTCATAGGCAGTTTTGTTCTGAAGAATCTTGCCCATGCACTTTCCAATGCACAAGTGGACCAAACCTCAAGACACAGTTCCAGCTCTGAAGCACTTTAAGGTCAGATTCATAGCCAAGCCTTGAGTCCTCTCCACAGAAGTCAACAAAATTCTCCTTTCTCAGAGTCATGGGCCTAGAAAAGGCTCTCAGTGTCTCCCACAGAGAAGCCAAAGGATGCTTTAAACCAGCCCTGAGCTGACCTCTTCACATAGAAAGATGCCTTCCCCAAGCCAGACATTTCACTTGCAAGCCAGCCTGGTGTGGCTTCTTCAGGGATGATTGGAAAGCCAAAACCTGGCTCTGACATGTGCAGAGTAAAAGGGAGATGGAACAAATGGTTTATTCCTGATGCCGTCAATGTAGACAACCGGCAATCAAATGAAGCAAGGAGCTAGGATCTGAATAGCCCCTGACCAAAGGCAGTCAGAAGAGGTTTACTGAAAACACCTCTGACAATGGGCTTCACACACACACACACAGTCACACACACACTCACACACACACACAACAGCCACATGGGAACAGGCTCCTGGGCTCCCCGTGGGAGTCCATCTCATCTGTGCACTAGGTTCCCGCCCTACCCCCTCTGCTGCTCCAGCAGGGCCTGGACAAGACTATAGTGTGGGTTACTTTCTACCGTCAATCGGACCCTGATGATTGCACTTCTCCACCCCCACCCACCCCCAGGAACTGGAGAGCAGCATTCAGAGACACAGCCTCAGATTCCCTGGCTTCTCAACACACTCCAACTAGAGGCCTTCGTCATCTCACCACCTCTGAGGTAGAGGATGTTCCTCTTCCAAGGGCAGCCAGTATTTGGAGAAACAGATAAAAGCAGCTAGGCTGAAGTCACCTGTGTTCTTCTCCCCGGCCTCCAGGGGGTAAAAATAACCTGATGTTTTTGCCTGCTAGTCTTCCACTGATGAATATACATCCCAAACAGAGACCCAGACACACATATGCCTTCCCATGAGGCATGATACTTGACATATGATCAGGATTCTGAGGGAGAATTTAATTTTACAGCTAAAAAGCAACTTGTAGGCTGGGCTTGCATGTGCTTTATTTTTCTAGCCCCTACGGTACCCTATAGTATTGCTTTGCACATAGGCGAGGCCCTGCCAAGTATTTTAGCCAGTACCAGTCTGTGTAGCAATCACTCTTGGCAAGCAAGAGATGTGCCCATTTGATTTCAGAGAAAAAAACACCCAGAGTGGACACACAGCAGGTAAGTGGTGGGCAGCTAAGATGGGTACCCTTTCCCTGCCAGAGGAGTACAAATGCTTCATAAACACTGGTCAGTTCTTGCCCGAGCATGACCCGCCGGCCTCCCCGAGTACCACATGGACCAGGTGCACTGATTAGCCAGGACTCCCTGCCTGCCTCCCCTACCTGCTCCCCACCTCCTGTGCTCTGAGATAAATGTTCCGCATTTCCGCATTTCCGTGTGCTCACTCACACATTATCTAGCAATGCTTCCTTTGCTTTTTTTTTTTTTTTTTTTTTTTTTTTTTTTT